CGCCAAGCGCCAGCCGTTGGGGCAGGGCCGTGGGAGGGCGCGGGGCGCCGCCGCTGCTTCTGCGATCTGGACCCGCGCGACGCTAGCGGCAGAGCCAGCCGCGCCGACGAGGGCGGGCCCCGGGCGCGGGGCTGGCGAGCGCGCGCACTGGCGCCGCGCTGCAGCCGCGGGCGGCGAAGGTGGGCTGGCGAGGGCGCGAGCTGCCGCCGCGCTGGGTCGCGGGCGGCGAGGCTGGCGGCGTGGGCGGCGCGGCGCTGCCGGGGATGCGAGCGCCGTGGGGCTGGGCGCGCGCCGAGGGGGGCCGACAGGGCGGCGTCTGTGCCGAGGCGGGGCGCTGGATCATGGAAGGCCAGATGCCGGCGAAGCGGGCCGGCTGGCGCTGAGGAGCTGCTCTGCCGGGTCATGTGAGCTGCTCTGCCGAGTCCTGGCGGTGCTGTGCGTCCTCCCTTGAATCGTGACTAAACGCCCGGGCCGGCGCGCCCCCTCCCCTCGGGGGCGGCCGGGGGAACCATCCCGCTTGAGGGGAGGTGAGGGTGTGCGCCGGCTCCCGATCGTTGTGTTCGGGGCGGCGCTCGGGAAGACCCGTGTCCGCCTCTGGAGGAGAAAGGATGAGGAAAAAAAGGAGGAGGAGAAGAGGAAGAGGAGGAGGAGGAGGAGGAGGAGGAGGAGGAGGAGGAGGAGGAGGAGGAGGAGGAGGAGGAGGAGGAGACCCAGGCGGTGAATGTCAGCAAATCCAATACCCCTCCAATCCGTTCGTATGGGGCTACTCCTCCCCGTCGCACCACTAAACGTGTCGGTATGGTGGGTTGGGTGTTTCGCTTGAAACCGCCTTACACCATATGATCCTGAGCATCGAGATTGGGAGCTTTTCCACAGATAGAGAGCGTGGCGGTTTCCCACATGTGGTTTTCGCTTCACCGTCGCGCGCATTTGTGCAAACGGTTTCTGGCAGTCATGCGGGTGATGGCAGTTGGTTGTGGCGACATGTGGCTTTCGCCCCAGCGCCTCGCTGATTCATACAGTACGTACGTATGTACGCATACATGTATGTACGTATGTATGCATGCATGTATGTGTGTGTGTGTGTTTATGTGTGTGTGTGCATGTATGTTTGCATCTATGTGTACATGTATACATGCATGTTGTATGTCGGCATGCATATTTGTAGTCATAGCTGTCTGTATGCATACATGCATGTAATGTATGTATGTAGGTATGTATGTAATTATGTATGCATGTATGCATGCATGTATGTAGTTATGCATGCGTGTACGTGTGTGTTTACGTTTGTGCGTGCATGCATGCATGCATACATGCAGATATGTATGAATGTATTTATGTATGCATGTATGTATGCATGTATGTATAAATGTATGTATGTATGTATGTATGTATGTTTGTATGTAATGTAATGCATTGTATTGTAATGTAATGTAATGTAATGTAATGTAATGTAATGTAATGTCATGTAATGTAATGTAATGCAATGTAATGTAATGTAATGTGATGTAATGTAATGTAATGTAATGTAATGTAGTGTAATGTAGTGTATTGTAATGTACTGTAATGTATTGTAATGTAATGTATGTATGCATGTATGCATGTATGTATGTATGCATGCATGCATGCATGTATGTATGTATGTATGTATGCATGTATGTATGTATGTGTCTGTATGTATGTATATATATATATATATATATATATATATGAATATCCACATCTCTGTGGACGGAGGGGATGGATGGGAGTGGATGGCAAAGCGTAACTATCGTCTTACAGCCGCGCACGTTCGTCTAAACACATATCCTCTTTCACTCATGTTTGCGCTGCTCCGTTACCACGCCTCCTTGCCTCCTCCCTTACTCGTTCACTTTCCTCCTCCCCCACCCTGTTCCCGTTCCTCCGCTTTCTCCTCCTCCCGCTCGCTCCTCCCTGATTCCTCCTCTTCCTCCTCCTCCTCCTGCTCCTGCTCCTCCTCCTCCTTTTTCCAAATCCTTGCCCTGACTGTCCCCCCTGCTCCTCCTCCCCCCCCTTGCTGCCCCCCGGCTCTCACCCCTTCTGCCCCCCCCACCCTGCGGCCCGTAGAGGCACAGGGCCATGGCGCTGAGGCGCTGGCGGCGGGTGCTCGCGTGGCTCGGGCAGCTGCTCAGAGCCCGGCGGTGGCAGCTCCAGGCCGGCTGGCTGCGCCGCCGGACAGCGGCTGCCACCACGACGACGACGACGACGACGACGACGACGACGACGGAGACGACGACGACGACGATGACGACGACGACGACGACGCTGGACGAGGGGGTGGGGGGGACGCTCCTCTGGGGCCCAGCCGCCGTGGAGGAGCCCCTCTGCTCCTCCTCCTGCCCCTCCTCCCTCCAGGCCTCCCTCCTCCCTCCAGGCCTCCCTCCTCCCTCCAGGCCTCCCTCCTCCCTCCTGCCCCTCCTGCCCCTCCTCCCTCCAGCCCCTCCTGTCCTCCCCCCTCCTCCTCCCTCCTGTCCCTCCTGCCCCTCCTCCTGCCCCTCCTCCCTCCCTCCCTCTCTCTCCGGCCTCCCCTCCCTCCCGGCTCGAGCCGCGGCCGCGGCCGTGCGCCCCCCCCCCCCTTCGAGACCCTCTGCGCACCTCTCCGCCGCGGGCCGCCTCGGGCGCCGCCCGCCTCGGGCGACCGCGCCGACGCCGGCGCGTTAGCGCGCGCGAGAGAGGCGCCGCGGCGGTGCCTCCGCCGCCGCCTCCGCCGGCGAGGCCGCCCGCGGCGGCGCCGCCGCCCCTCCTCCTCCTCCTTCTCCTCCTCCTCCTCCTCCTCCTCCTCCTCCTCCTCCTGCTTGGCTCTTCCCGCCCCTGGGCCCTCTCGCCAGCCGCCGCCGCTCGCCTCGCTCCTGGTGTTCTGTAGGGGAGAGCAAGCAGTGACGCGACGACGACGACGACGACGACGACGACGACGACGACGACGACGACGACGACGACGACGACGACGACGACGACGACGACGACGACGACGACGACGACGACGACGACGACGACGACGACGACGACGACGACGACGACGACGACGACGACGACGACGATGGACGAGGGGGTCGGGGGGACGCTCCTCTGGGGCCACGCCGCCGTGGAGGAGCCCCTCTGCCCCTCCTCCTGCCCCTCCTCCCTCCAGCCTCCAGGCCTCCCTCCAGGCCTCCCTCCCTCCTGCCCCTCCTGCCCCTCCTCCCTCCTGCCTCCTCCCTCCCTCCCTCTCTCCGGCCTCCCCTCCCTCCGGGCTCGAGCCGCGGCCGCGGCCGTGCGGCCCCCCCCCCCCCCTTCGACACCCTCTGCGCACCTCTCCGGCGCTGGCCCCGGGCGCTGCCCGCCTCGGGCGACCGCGCCGAGCGGGAGAGAGGCGCCGCGGCGGTGCCTCCGCCTCCGCCTCCGCCGGCGAGGCCGCCCGCGGCGGCGCCGCCCCCCCCCTTGGCTCTTCCCGTCCGCTGGGCCCTCTCGCCAGCCGCCGCCGCTCGCCTCTCTCCTGGTGTTCTTGGGGGAGAACAAGCAGCGACACAAACATGAACACTCTTCCTGTCCCCCGGGCCCTCTTGGCTCTTCCTGTCCCCCGGGCCCTCTTGCCGTCCGCCGCCGCTCGCCTCGCTCCTGGTGTTCTGTAGGGGAGCAAGCAGTGACACGAACATGAACACTCGGAGGCCCGCGCGGACTTCTCGGATCGGCGCCGGGGGCCTGGCGGCGCCTCCGGCGCCGCCCCTGGCGCGCTCCGCGCGCCAGGGAGGGGGGTCGAGCGCCGATCCGAGGAATCCGCGCGGACCTCCGAGTTTTTATGTTTATGTCATTGTTTGTTCCCCTAGTTCTGCCGTGGCGCCTGCTGCAGCTGCTCCCGGCCATCCTCTGCCAGGAGCTTTCCGTGGCGGGGCATCTTCGTGTGTTCCCCCGCTCCCGCTGGATCTTCCAGTCTCGTCCACGTCCTGGTCCTGTGGCGCAGCAGTAATGGCAGAGCCGCGCTCTTCGTCTGAGATGCTAGCGTCTCTCCCGGTTCCACCTCCTCCTGGTGTGTTCGGACTTGCATCTCCAGGTTGCTCGTTCAAGGCCAGTGGCAACGACTCCGAGGGCTGCACGGCCAAAAAATTCCGAGCATAGGGTTCACCCGCTGTATTTCGCCAAAACCGTTGGAGCCGTTTGCCTTCTAACGCTGACAAGGTTGGCACTGCCCGCGCGGATCAGAGATTTGTGGTTTCATGTCTGCCTCTATTGGACGCCCCCTTTCGTTTCCGCAGGCTTGCCCCCGATCTCCTTGCGAGGTTGTTGCCAGGCGTCGCGCTTTGAATGTTACTTCGACAGGCAGCTCTGACAGCAGGCGTGATAGCTTGAACGAGTGCCAGTGCCTTGGTTTTCGGCCTCTCTGCTCCTGTCCCCGTTCGCCGCCTCCAGTCGCGCTCCAGACCCCCTTGTTCTTTGCGTGGAACTGACGTTAATGCCCTCAAAGCTGGCGCAGCTGACAGAGAGCAAGCTCAGCTCGCAGTATATTCTGACACGCAATCTATTCTGACATGCAGTATATTCTGACATGCTGTAGTAGCTCTACGACGATATTTCTTTTCTTTGTTTCTCAATTTCCTCGGGAATGGCCACGACAACGACGACGATGACGACGACGATGGCGGCGGCGGCGGCGACGACGACGATGACGGCGACGGCGGCGGCGGCGACGACGACGACGATGACGGCGACGACGACTCAAACGGAGAAGCGTCCCACACACGCCGAAGGGGCGGATATGTTTTGGAGATTGTGATCGGCTCTTTTTTGACCTGTCTTGAGGCTTTCGGACGTTGTCGGATAAGGACAGGAGGGGGAGAGGAAGGAGGAGGACGAGGAGGTGAATGGGGGTGGGGACTGGGAAGGAGGAGGAGCAGGATGGAAATGGAGGAGGACCAGCGTAAACCCAGACGCATCGACCATGTTTCAATAACCTCTCCTTGCAAGTTCCCTTTTCGCAGGTCCCAAGATGAGAAAGATCTCTTCCTGTGGTCTGTGGTAGGGTCCCCCCCGGGTTCGACTGGGGGTTGGGGGCTCCGTAAAAATGGCTCAGGGCTCCGAACCCCCCGGGGGGCGGCCCCCCCCCCGAGAACCTGGGGGCACCCCCTCCCTTCGGGGGTGGGTGGGCCAAGAATGGTGGGGGGGCCTCCCCCCCCTTTCTTGTTCGCGGCGGCGGCGGCGGCGGCGGTGGCGCCACGACGGCGACGACGATGGCGACAGGGGCCAGGCACGCGCAAACGAGGACCACGAACCATGGCGTCGATGACGGGCGACGGCGACGGCGACGGCGACGGCGACGGCGACGGCGACGACGACGACGACGGCGACGACGACGGCGACGACGACGACAACGACGATAACGACGACGACGACGACGACGACGAGGAGACCGACCCGCCCGATCTGGACGCCCCATCATTGAGCGAATGGTTCCTTCAATGTCCGGCCTGCCCGAGCGACGTTTTTGTCGGCTGTGGTCGAGCCCTCCTCAATTTTCCATTTCACACAGTGAAGGTTGGGTATACTGTCCCGTGCGCCCAATTTGGATGGCCCATCACTGACTACAGGTTTCATTCAATGTTCCGCCCGCCCGTCCTGCGTTTTTGGCGGTCGTGAAAAATTCACCAGAACTTCTCTCCTAACACAGAGTGAAGGTTATTTTTCCCGCCCGCCCAATACGGATGCCCCATGCTGACTGGATGGTTCCTCCAATGTCTTCCCTGCCCGACCGGCGTTTTCGGCGGTTGTGATTGGTCCCCCCTGAACAATTTCGCATTTCACACTGTGAAGGTTGCATTGAATGTCCCGCCCATTCAATTTGGACGCCCCATCACTGACTACAGGTTTTATTTGATGTTCCGCCCGCCCCACCGTTTTGTTTTTGCGGTCGCGATCTATTTTCCACGCCTTGTCTCCCAACGCAGACGGAAGGTTGCATTTAATGTCCCGCCCGCCCGAACGGCGTCTTCGGCGGCTGTGATCGATCTCCCCTTCACTTTTTCACTTCACGCAGTGAAGGTTGTATGTAATGTCCCGCCCGTCCGATGTGGACGCCCCATCATTGAGCGAATGGTTTTTTTAATGTCCCGCCCGTCCGAACTGCGTCTTCGGCGGCTGTGATCGGTATCACCTTCACTTTGTCAGTTCACACAGTGAAGGTTGCATTTTCCGCCCGCCCAATTTGGACGCCCCATCACTGACTACATATTTCATTTCATGAGCCGCCCGCCCGTCCTGTTGTTGTGGCGGTCGCGATACATTTTCCCATAATTTGCTCCGAAGACAAAGTGAATGTTGTATTTAATGTCCCGCCCGCCCGATCTGGATGTCCCATCGCTGAAAGAATGGTTCCTCCAAGGTCCCACCCGCCCGACCAGCGTCTTCGGCGGTGGTGATCGATGTCATTTCAACTTTTTCATTTTATATGTTGAGAGTTGCATTTGATGTCCCGCCCGCCCGAGTTGGGCGGCCCATCGCTGCCTACAGGTTTTGTTGAATGTTCCGCCCGCCCGTCCTGCGCCCGTGGCGATCGTGATGTATTTCCCATGACCTTCTGGCAACACGCACTTGAGGTTGCATATAATGTCCCACCCACCCGACCAGTTCACTGTCTCGTCGTTGTTGTTGTTGTTGTCGCCGTCGTCGTTGTCGTCGTCCTTGCCGTCGTCGTTGTCGTCGTCGCCGTCGCCGTCTGTCGTTGTCGCCATCGCTGTCGCCGTCGCCGTCGTCGTCGCCGTCGCCATCGTCGCCGTCGTCGCCGTCGTCGTCGTCGTCGTCGTCGTCGTCGTCGTCGTTCCTGTAGGCGTCGCTCACGATGGGGGGGATTTTTAGGGTGCCGCCCCATCCCTTTGGTTTCTGGGAGGGGGGTGGTCGATTTTTTCAAGCCAAACGCCTGTGAAACGCGGTCTTTCTAGGATGAATGTAGTTAAATTCCAAGCAGTGGCCCGTTAGGAAACAACAGTTTGATAATTCTTTCGCGTGGCAGAACATACTTCCTCGGACTTCATCGCCGTGGATCAACGTGACTGTGCTTCCAGACAGTCCTAAATCGCGCCAGAACGCCATTCATGGGACTTCAACATCGCGAACCAACGGTTGCTTCTTGGCAATCCTAAATCGTACCAGATCATCAACCATCCCTGGGACCCCAGCCGTGCGAAGCTTCAAACCTGATGCAAGCTTTGAAGACGAATGTGCGCGGCGCTCAGGCGATCACCTCATTTTGACAAGGACCCGCCCTCCATCCCGAAAGCCGTTGCGAACTGGAAGGTGGCTGGTCGCGGCACGACGGCGCGAGGCACATCCGACCCCCCCCCGCCCTCGATCCGTGAATCTGCTGCAGCCTGTGCGCGGCGCTCAGGCGAGAGCCACATTTTGAAGCCGACTCGCCCGAACGAGCGTGCGCGGCGCTGGGGCGAGAGCACCATCTTGGCAGGGACCCGCCGCCCCTCCGCGAAGCTGTTGCACACTTCCCGGACGAGCGTGCGCGGCGCGCCGGCGTGAGCCGCATGTCGAAGAGGGCCCGCCCGCTGCCCGCGAAAGCGCTGCAAACTGCTGACGCAAATGCGCGCGGCGCTAAGGCGATAGTCATACACTGCAAGCTACCCGCCCTCCATTCGTGACTCTGTTGTAGTGGAGGAGGAGGAGCAGGAGGAGGAGGAGGAGGCGGAGGAGGAGGAGGAGGAGGAGGAGGAGGAGGGAGGTGGAGGCGGAGGAGGAGGAGGAGGAGCGGAGGAGGGAGGAGGAGGAGGAGGAGGAGGAGGAGGAGGGAAGGTGATGTTGTGGAGAGGGGCAGAACACCTAGGATGAAGAGGATAATGAGGGTGAGGAGGAGGAGGAGGAGGGGAGGATGAGGAGGAGGAGGAGGAAGGAGGATGAGGACGAGGGAAATCAGAAGGGAGGTGATGTTGTGGAGAGGGGCAGAACATTTAGGGGAAGGAGGATGAAGCGGATAATGAGGGTGAGGAGGAGGAGGAGGAGGAGGAGGAGGAGGAGGAGGAGGAGCATGAGGAGGAGGAAGGGGGAGGAGGGAGGAGGGCAATCAGTAGGGGAGGTGAAGTTGTAGAGGGGGGGCAGAACACGGAGGAGAAGGAGGATGAGGAAGAGAAATATGATGATGACGATGATTAATGATACTGATGCTGATGATGCTGATGATGATGCTGATGATGCTGATGATGATGGTGATGATGATGCTGATGATGATGATGATGATGATGGTGATGCTGATGCGGATGCTGATGCTGCTGTTGCGGCTGCTGCTGCTGCTGCTGCTGCTGATGATGATGATGATGATGATGATGATGATGATGATGATGATGATGATGATGTTGCTGATGATGCTGATGATGGTGGTAATGATTATGATGGTGGTGGTGATGATGATGATGATGATGATGATGATGATGATGAGGAGGAGGAGGAGGAGGAGGAGGAGGAGGAGGAGGAGTAAAGGGAGGTGGAACACGAGAAGGGGGAGGAAATTGCGCGGCCGATCGAGATGCTGCTTCTCCTTCGGCCTGGTTTGCCGAACGACCCGACGAGACCCGTCAGCTCTTCCCGTCTTGTCCCGCTGCCAAGCCTGTAGCTCCGCGTCGTTGTCTTCGTCTTCGTTATTGTTGCCTGAGCTGCAGCAGTCGTGGTGGTGGTGGTCGCCGTTGTCGTACATGCAAGCGCCGCGGGACAACAAAGCGACGCTCATCGAGTCGCGTTTTGGTCCCAGGGACCCTCGCGGATCGACCTGGCTCGACGATTCAGTCATAATCATGAGGTCGATCGTATTGGTAGTCTCTATTCGCGACGCAGTGCTTTTTCGTGACGTCAGATCTCGGGCGTGACATATGGCCTTTCACGCCACGTGGTGACGATGAGGATAGAGGCAGTGGCCGTCTGCGACGGCGATCCTGTGCACTGGTGGCAATCCTGACAGTTGCGTCCAAACTGCTGCTGATCTCCCCCTCTGCCCCTCCCTTCCCACTCCGACTCTCACCCCCCAGTCTCTTTCTCTCCCTCGCTCTCCTTCTCTTCTCTCTCTCTCTATCCAGCGTTCTCTCTCTCTCTCTCTCTTTCGTCATTCGCGCCTCTCGCTAACTCCCTCTCCATCTCACTCTCCCTCTTCATTTCCCCTCTCCTCCTCTGCTGCCGTCGCTGGCGGGGAGCCCCGTGGCTGCGACCGAAGGGACCTGCCGCCCCCCGCGCCCAGGCCAGCGACGGTGCGGCCGACGCGGACGGCACCATGTACGACCTGGAATGGGACGACGAGGAGAGCGACGGTGCCCCGTGCCGCTGCAGAGCGCGCCGAAGCTGGCAATTCAATCGCGCAGAGGTCGAGGCAGAGGAGCGCGCGAAGAAGCAGGCGGCAGAGGCAGTGCACTTTCGGGGGGGTCCGCGCCGATTTCTTGGGCTGGCGCCGGGCCCGCATCCTGCCCCTGGCTCGCTCCGCGCGCCAGGGAGGGGGGGGGGGGGTCCAGCGCGGATCCGAGAAGTCCGCGCGGCGCCCCGAAAGCTTCGGATTGCACCGCCGTCTGTTCCTCCAATGGTCAGGAGGGGACAAAAACACACAGACACACTGAATCGTCGATTCCCCAGGAAATATGGGAAACTATGGGAAGTGGGGGGACGACAGAGGCCCAGAAACTGTGGGAGCATAGGGGGAATCCTGTCATTTGTGCCCATTTCTTTGTGTGCCCCAGGGCCCCCTTTCAAGTGGGTGGAGAGACCTGGCTGGCCCAGGCCTGGCGCCAGCGCGTGCGGCAGGGCCGCGGGACCTCCCGCGTGGCGGCGGCGCGCCCCGCAGGCGGCCAGGGCGGACCGCCTCTGGGGGGGTCCGTGCACGTGGGCCACGGGGCCTGCAGACGGCAGCGCACGGCGCGAGACCGCTCGAGGTCGAGGGCCTCCTCCGCCTCCTCCGCCTCCTCCTTCTCCTCCTCCGCCTCCTCCTCCTCCTCCGCCTCCTCCTCCTCCTCCTCCTCCTCCTCCTGGGAGAGCTGGGGTCGGGAGAGCCTCTGGGTACTTGAGGAGGGGCGCCGCTCGAGGTCGAGGCGTCCCCGCGGCATCAGGAGCCCTCGTCCGCGTCGCCGCAACAGGCGCCCGCCACTTTACCCTGCTCTGTGAGCAGCCTCTCGCGTCCAGTCTTGCAGCACGCTGGCGCGGCACTGCCGGCACTCCTCTCTGGACTTGTCTCCAACACTCGGGCGCCACGGCGCCGCCGCTCCACTCCTGGAGGGACCGCGCCCCGGCGCTTATGCGAGCGTCCGTCCGTCCGTCCGTCCGTCGGGTGCGGCCAAGAGGGGGGTGATGACTGGGGTGGGTGGGTATCACGGCGGGGGCCATGATGTCTCCCCAGATTTCGTGGCGACTCTTCTTAGCTGAACGAGCGTGTTCTACCGCTGCTGGCGGAAAAGCGGGGGGGGGGTCACTGGAAGTTCCCAACCCGTCCCCCCCACCTCCAAAACCGGGGAGGGGTCACTGCCTGTTCGAACCCCCCCGGGACCCCCCCCTCCCTTCTCGCCGCTGGCAAACGTTGCCCGCTCCTCGGGACAGTGGGACCAATGGTGGGGACACTGGGACAGTGGTGGGGACGGTAGTGGTGGGGATAGTGGTGTGGGGACAGTAGGACAGTGGTGGGGACACTGGGGACACTGGGGACAGTGGTTGGGACGGTGGTGGTGGGGACAGTGGGGACAGTGGGACAGTGGTGGGGACAGTGGGGACAGTGGGACAGTGGTGGGGACGGTAGTGGTGGGGACAGTGGTGGGGGCGGTGGTGAGGACGGTGGTATGACAATGAGACAGTGGTACAGTGGGGAGAATGGTGGGGACAGTGGGGACACTGGGGACAGTGGCGGGGACAGTGCGGACAGTGGGACAGCACAGAGGGACAGCGGTGGGGACAGTGGGGACAGTGGGACTGTGGTGGGGACAGTGGGACAGTGGTGGGGACAGCAGGGACAATGGGGAGAGTCGGACCGTGGTGGGGACAGTGGTGGGGACAGTGGGGACAGTGAGACACTGGTGGGGGCACTGGTGGGGACAGTGGGGACAGCGGTGGGGGCAGTGGGGACAGTGGGACAGTGGCGGGGATGGTAGTGGTGGGGACAGTGGGACAGTGGTGCGGACGGTGGTGGTGGGGACAGTAGTGTGGGGACAGTCGGACAGTGGTGGGGACAGTGGGGACAGTGGGACAGTGGTGGGGGCGGGCGGTGGTGGTAGGGACATGGTGAGGGCGGTGGTGAGGACGGTGGTGGGACAATGGGAGTGGGTACAGTGGGGACAGTGGGGACAGTTGGGATGGTGGTGGGAACAGTGCGACAGCTCAGTGGGACAGCAGCGGGGACAGTGGGGACAGTGGGACAGTGGTGGGGACTGGGGACAGTGGGACAGTGGTGGGGACGGTAGTGGTGGGGACAGTGGTGAGGGCGGTGGTGAGGACGGTGGTAGGACAATGAAACAGTGGTACAGTGGGGAGAGTGGTGGGGACAGTGTGGGACACTGGGGACAGTGGGGACAGTGGGACAGCACAGAGGGACAGCGGTGGGGACAGTGGGGACAGTGGGGACAGTGGGACAGTGGGGGGGGCAGCAGGGGCAATGGGGAGAGTCGGACCGTGGTGGGGACAGTGGTGGGGACAGTGGGGACAGTGAGACACTGGTGGGGGCACTGGTGGGGACAGTGGGGACAGCGGTGGGGGCAGTGGGGACAGTGGGAGAGTGGCGGGGACAGTGGGACAGTGGTGGGGACGGTGGTTGTGGGGACACTCGTGTGGGGACAGTGGGACAGTGGTGGGGACTGGGGACAGTGGTGGGGACGGTGGTGGTAGGGACAGTGGTGAGGGCGGTGGTGAGGACGGTGGTGGGACAATGGGACAGTGGTGCAGTGGGGACTGGTGGGGACAGTGGGGATGGTGGTGGGAACAGTGCGACAGCTCAGTGGGACAGCGGCGGGGACAGTGGGGACAGTGGGACAATGGTGGGGACAGTGGGACAGTGGTGGGGACAGTGGGGACAGTGGGGAGAGTGGGACCGTGGTCGGAACAGTGGTGGGGACAGTTGGGACATTGCGACAGTGGTTGGGGCACTGGTGTGGACAGTGGGGACAGTGGGGACAGCGGTGGGGACAGTGGGGACAGTGAGACAGTGGTGGTGGGGACGGTGGTGCTGGGGACAGTGGGTGAGGGCGGTGGTGAGGACGGCGGTGGTGGGTACCCAGGAGTCGTTTGCTGGCGGTGAGTGGGGGGGGAGGTTCGAACCGGTAGTGACCCCCCCCAGTGTTCTGGAGGGGGGGGTCGAACCGGTAGTGACCCCCCCTCCGGTTGTCTGGAGGGGGGGGAGGGGTTATTGGGGAAGGGGGTTTTGCCGGTGGAAGGGAGGGGGCGGGGGCTTTCGAGCAGGGGGAGGGGGGATTTTCGGAGGGGGTGGACCCCCGGGTTCCGGAGGAAGAGGGGGGAAGTTTCCACAGTAAAGCGGCGGTAGATCACGCTCTCTCTCTTTC